TTAAGATCCTCGAACGCCGCTCCAAAATCCCTAACCCTAACAAAACCCCCTCGGGGACCCGAACTCGCACCCAATCCCACACCCAAACGCCAGGCTTCTCTGCTACTCCCTTTGGATCCGAGGCTACCCCCTCGATCCCCGTAAAAGATCCTCAATTTCCTCAGGATTCTGAAGGATCTGATGGTGTCGATGTTAATTTAACCCTAGATGAGTTCTTTAGGAGGTACACGAGCGAGGACAATGAGAGCTTCAATAAGATTTTGGAGAAGGTTAATCGGAAGAAGAAGGAGAAGTACTCTCATCTTCTCGAAGGGGAGAGGGAGCAAACCCTAACCCTAGAGGATGAGAAGAAGGACAGGATCACTGATGGTTATGGAACTTCTGGACAGCCTCTGAGTAGGCTGGACAGTTGGAAGTACACGGCAAAGAATCTGTTGATGTATAACCCGGTGGACCGTGGTGAAGTTCCATTGACCGAGGAGGAGAGAGCTGAGAGATCGAAGGCATTGACAAAGGAAATCAGCAGGTTGAATACCCGGTTTCATGGGAAATTGGCAGAAGACTCGAAGCCCGCGAAGGAGGAGGAAGGGGTCGCTATTCTTTACAATCCAGTGCCAGGTACGACCCCAGCTGGGGCTGCGTGGCCTTTTGCCGATAGAGAAGCTGAGAAGTTGAGGAAATACGATTTGGAGGATTTGAGGAAGACCCCAAATCAGTTCTTTGCAGAATCAAGCAAGAAGGCTGAGAATGGGTATAGTTTTGTTAAGACACCGTCCCCTGCTCCGGGTGTTGATGAATCACCTTTTATGACTTGGGGAGAGATCGAAGGAACACCCTTGAGGTTGGATTTGGATGAGAGTGATGTTGGTGTTGGTGGGAGCAGTGAAGGTCCACACTTCAGGATTCCTTTGCCTCCTTCGAGGGATGTGAAGGCTCATTCTTTGTCTAGGGAGGCTGCAAGAAAGTTGAGGGAGAGGTCTAAGATGTTTCAGAAACCGCCATTGCCTTCTCCGGCTAGAGGTGGGAGTGCTAGCCCCAGTGCTAGAACGCTTTCTCCGGCTGCTCAGAAGTTTGTGAGGAATGCAATTGCAAAGTCTTCAAGGTCAGTGGATGAGTCTCTTCGTGCTAGTTATCGTGGGTCTAGCCCGGTTGTGGGAACACCGAAGGAGAAGATGTCGAGGTTTTCTAGAGAAGGGAGCTTTGGGTCGAGGTCGCCTTCTGCAAGGCAGGGATCTGCTGGCCCATGGTGATGTATTATTGTTTTGTTTTCTATACTGTTTTTACTTAAGTTCATTTGTGCGATAAAGCACTGAATTATTATATCTATCAGTATATGTAATATATTTTGGAAATGGAAGGTCTTTTGCTGATAGGTTACACTTTTCAATGATATGGATTTATGTGGTTTCATTGTTCCAAATTGCATGTCCTTTTAATCAGCGTTTCAGTTGGCATTGTGAAATAGTTATTCTTGACTATGGAGAACTTAGGAACAAGGTATTTCCTTCTTTATCTAAACCTTTCATTTGGTGCCTTAGTTTTCTTCCCATTGAAATTTACTAAAATCACCAATTTTTACCAATTTGTCTAAATCAATTTCATATATTTCATACACATAGTTTAAGCAGAAAACTCGGTCTTAGATGGTGCACTTCACCGCTGGAGTTTTTGCAATTTTTTAATTCCTTTGGACTAATATATGACTTGTTGAATTCGATACTTCATGCTTGTTTGATATGATTTTGTATGTTTTAAATTTGTGACAAAATAAAGCACGATAAGTGGAGCTAGTTATAGTTATTCTGATGTCATTACTATTGTGCTTACCGGCTAAGTTGATAGGATGCTATTGTTTGAAAGACTAATACTAGTTTATTGTCAAATATGTTCTCTCTAAGATTATGATCTGTTTGAAGAAAGAAAAGAGAATTATGCCTTTTTTTTGGGTACTTGTATTGTATTGCATTCTATTTTTATGGATAGCCTGAAAAGTCGCTCTGCCCTTACCAGCAATACCAAAAATATCATTACTAAATATCTGACATATGGATTATTTTTATTGAACTTGTAATCCATTCTCTGATTAATTAGGGGACCCAACAAAAAGTACCCTGACTGCACTTTTAAACGTTATTACCACATTTTGTAACTTAGTATTCTATCTACCCTTCATCAGTTGGTATATTTGCTTTTGGTCCATTACACATCTTTATCTGAATATTGGTATTTTGTTTCTTTATTGGTTAGAACATTAGTATTTTATGACTTGTTTTGGTTGTCGTCTTGTTGAGGATAATATCTTATAGTTAGGTGTTTCTTGGGCCCCTAATACCGCTGTTTGAGAATTCAAGTAGGTTTGATGAGTCCCGGCTTATTTACTCACTCTATTTATAGGACTGGAGCCGAAGTCCTTTCTCTTATTTCCCTAACCGAGTTTCATGAAACCCGACCCTTAACTGTTTTAAGAGATTGAACAGTAAAGTGATATAGTAGTTTTGAATCATTGACAGTAAAGTGATATATATTTATTTAACAGTGAAGTGTTGTAGTAGTTCTGCATCATAGAATTGCCTTTCAAATACCAAACTGGCCGCATACATTGCAGTTCTCTTCTCAGTGAGAGGTCTATGTTTATGGCATAAGTATCTGGGTTCTGCTGACAAACCCTATAACAACTCCATGCAAATTTGAGCAGCACCCCAATTTCAATAGAACGAGGTTCTCATTGACTTGAAAATGAGAACCTTTAACAATTTCAATAGAATTGCCTTTCAAATACCAAACTGGCCGCATACATTGCAGTTCTCTTCTCAGTGAGAGGTCTGTGTTTATGTCATAAGTATCTGGGATCTGCTGACAAACCCTTTAACAACTCCATGCAAAATTGAGCAGTACCCCAATTTCAATAGAACGAGGTTCTCATTGACTTGAAAATGTTTATTCTAATGTTCATAGGGAAGTGATGTGGTTAGTTTTATACATGAATGTGCCTGGTATTGATCCATGACATGTATGAATGGATAACAAATCGCACCAAGGGGACAATCACTTGAGAAATATAAACCTTTCCTGCTACTATACGGCTTCTATTGGGATAAGTTTATCTTATATATTTATCTATGTATTTACTAGCATATCCACGATGAGATCTAGTGGTCGTAATTCTTGCATATCATGTCGTATTTGTTGGTAGAATTAGAGGAAGAACTTTATAGAAGATTAGTGGAAAGCTTTAATATCCAGTAGACGTATAGGGTACTAAGAAAAGGTTATGGTTCGTGTTTTGATCATGATCATGGACGAATGGGTTTAACAACCTAGATGAAAATGTTGAGATGCAGAACATACAACATAAAATGGACTAAGAAATGTGCATTAGTAAGAAGTTAGGGTAATGGAGAAGACAGATGATATACATGGTTTGGACATGTTATTGAAATTTAAGACAGTGGCTGTGACTGGGGATAAAAGAGGTTACTTTTGAGTTTCGACTTATCCGAAAAGTTTAAGATAAATGCTTCTTATTGTTATCAATGTCAGAAGTTGCTCCTTCTTCTCACCTTATTTCCCACTTTTCTTTTCCAAACCAAACTCCTTCCTTACTGATCTTTTACATATCACAAAATTGAATATTATGAAGATCCTTGAAAGTAGCTGCTCCTTCTGGATAAATGCTTCTAGAACTTTTTCATTGTTTTTATCCACTGTATAAAAAGTAAAAATTTATTTCTTCTGATGAATATTGTGATGATTTCCGATGCTTACTGATTGACTTATAAGATATACCAGTATATTTCTGTGGGAGGACAATTTGATTCATGGCTTTGTACATGTGTGGATACTGCATTGTGAAGATGAATGACATCTTAAACCATGGTCTCCATACGTTCTGCCTGTTCTATTTGTTTTCATCGATGGCAACTGTAACTATGTTTAGTCGCATTTTTTTTAAGATAACTTTTTTTCTTTTCTTTTTTATTTTTTTTGTCTGTCTGTGATAGTGTCATCTGTTTCACAGAATCTCCTGCAGATTCAACTCGGTTATTGATCGCAGCATATTTCATTTTGAACTCTCTTCATGAACAATAAACAATTATTTGATTTCAAGCGGAAGATTTCCTGGAGGTAAGAGTGCAATATGAAAATCTGGATCTATGTTAGTTTTTTCACTCTCATTTGCAGATTTATTTGTTAATCGTTCACTATTCACGAAGGTCAGGAAAGGGCTATCATCGAGGCTTGATGTTCCTCCGTACGTTTCCCCAGTGATTGTTTTCATTTTGGTGGCGTTTTTGTCGCGCCGATTTCTCAACATTGACCAGGTCATTCTTGGACCGATTGGATCGTGTCAATGCGCGGTGTTGGCCAGATCTCAACGTGTCGACTAATTTCACCATTGATCAGATCTTCATGCAGAGTTTATCAGGACACTTCCACAGAATAGAGTGATCTATACCTCCCACAGGATGAAGTGTTTACCGTTCACACGTGGTTGGGGGATTAATTCGGAAGTTTTATCTTTTTATTTATGGTACAAACTATCACATTCTTACCAAGATGGTTCTCATAGGATTCTTGCTCCACTGGGGTTGACGATCAAACGTTGCCACGCCGGTTTCCAATCTCACACTTCGAAGTCTAGTAGTGTGTTACCAATTATTAAATAAAACTATTTTAAACCCTTTCTTCCAATTTCCGTTGCAAGAAGGAACATAGTTTCTTAACAACATTATTTATTAGATTTGAGAGAGAGAGAGAGAGAGAGAGAGAGAGAGAGAGAGAGAGAGAGGGAGAGGGAAGGAGGCTGATTTTCTTCTTAGTCAATTGAAGTGTTTTCCACTTTTACACAAAGGGTACTAGCATTATATGTATGTATGAAGTTAAACAAAATATTCGCAAGTGTCATTTATTACCTCATACAGATTTTGCTTCTGCAAGAAACTTTTCTAATCTTTTAAAGTAATTAGTACTAGGATTTAAACTTCGAAGAATTTTTCAAAAATGACCCAATCCAATTTTTTTTTTAAAAATCGACCTACTCCATTTTTAATTACAGAAATCGACTCAGTTTCTGGTCGCGTCAACATTGTGGCCAGAAATTAGGTCGTTTTAAAAAAATTTCCTAATTAGTCGGTGTTGGCAACCCCGACTAATTATGACCACCATTCGCAACTTTATTATTACATCTAAACAAGTTGGGATCGCGAAACCCGAATACTTTGGTCAGGGTTCCCAACCCTGACCATTTGGGAGTGACTTTGATGTCGCGCACAAAATGGTCGAGGTTCCCAACCCCGACCATTTAGCAAAGTCTGCGCAGACCCAAGTCGAAAGAGTCGGGATTCCTAACCCCAACCATTTAGCAAAGACTCCCCTACCCCGAATATGGGGAACGACTGTCACCAAATAGTCGGGGTTCCCATCCCCGACTATTTGTGGTGGGTTCTGTCCGCTCATATATACCAACCGAACCCTTTTTCCCCTCAAACTGTCAATTTTTTCGCTCTCTTTCTTGTCAATTTTTTCGCTCTCTTTCTTGTCAATTTTTTCGCTCTCTTTCTAACTCTGGTCTCTCTCATTCATCCGCCTACCGGGTTCTCCCAACCCTATTTTGTGGTTGAAATTCATCGTGAAAGTTTGCTTAAGATCTCTAGGGTAATTTCTCTTCTCTCCTCTTTTAACATGTAAAAATCTAGGGGTTTTCTCTTTTCTTCAACATTCAAATGTAGGGTTTTCATCAACATCCAATTTCTAGGGCTTGAAATTTAATATCAATCACTATATCAATCACTATCTTTGTGGTGGTTCGAATGCTTTGTATGTTGATTGCTATAATTGAAATTAAAATTCTAAGTCATAGAATGCTCATTTCTAGGGTTTAGGATTTCATTTTGAAGCCTAAGGTTTTTTATCAAAATTATATGAGATTATTTGCATCTAGGGTTTTCCTCTTTTATTCAATGGACTGATGAAACTTTTTAAAAAATTTTACATTTAAATGATATAATCTTCTTTTTCATAGGTTGAACAATATAATTTTTATTGTTTGCTTTTATGCTAAAAAAATAATTATAGAATGAATAATATGTCAATGTACGTTGGAAGGGTAACGACGCCGTTAATGATCTCGGAACCATATAGTTACCGTGACTTGATTAAGGAATTACACCGAGTTACGAAAATTGGTCCACGAGAAAAATAAAATACAATTGGCTCATAACTTTTGATAGAACGTCCGCAGTTAAGATCTCAAACGATCATCATATGAGTATTATGTTTAGTATTATGTTTAATTTGAGCAAGTCGTAACCAATGATAGAATTGTTTATTGAAAAGTCTTCATGTAGTTTGTGCCAAATATTCAAACCTCCA